ACAAACTCTCTGAGACTGAAGAATATACAGAATTGAAGTTTATTTGGCTCATGTTCTGCAGGTCAAAAAGCCCCAAAATGGACAGTCATGTCTGGCACCAGCCTCACGCTGTTACAACTTGGTAGAAAGTGAAAGAAGGCAATTGTTGCCTTCAAGAACCGAGGGGGAAATTACACTATATAATAACCTCTGGACCCCCACACACACACATACACACACACACATACCCACACACACATATACACACACATGAACACACACATACACACACACATACACACACGCACACACACATATACACACACATGAACACACACATACACACACACATACACACACGAACACACACATACAGACACACACACACAAACACACACAAATAAAAGTGAAGTAAGTATAACCTGCTATCTGGGGTAACCAGTCCAGTGTGGGATCACAAAAGCTGACTTCCCAGAAAACTAACCCTGTGGTGTGAGAGCAGCATTAATCCCTCAACATCCAAACACTCTGAAAAGTCCCACACCCCTCAACCCTAGGCACCAACTCTCAGGATGAGTTTTGGAGGAGAAAAACATGTCCAAACTGCAGTCCCCAACTCATGCCCCCTGTGACAGCCCATGCTTAGCAGCCAGCTGGGTACTTAGGGTAGCCAGGGATATACGCAAGCAACTCCCCCCACCTCCTGGGACCGAGTTGTCAACTTCGCTGGCTTTAGAATCAGCTAAGACACAGGCCTTTGTTGTATCTAGGAGGATGTTTCCAGAGAGATGTCACTGAGGGAATGTATGGGACCCATCCCACAATGGAACCTGGACTACATAGCAAAGAAAAACAAAGCAAGGGAAGTAAGTCTCACTTCCTGATGGCAGACACAGTGTGACCAGCTAACTCTGCTCTTGTCACTGTGTCACTCTGTGACCAGGCTGTACCCTCACACTGTGCTCCAGGAAAAAAAAAAAGCCTTCCTTAAGTTGCTCTTGCCAGGTATTTTGACACAGCAAAAAGGAAAATATCTAAGAAGCAGCAAGCCTTGCTCACTATAGTCAAGGTTGGCGCTAAGCACGGGTTGTTTGGTAAATAATATAGGGAGCTCACCCACTGCTGGGCAGCTGGGGTCAGCAACTTCACCCACTGGCAAAGACTGGGCCTTTGCTGTCTGCCCTTGCATTGTGTTCCAGTCTAGGAAGGTCTGGCTGTTCTTTGCTTTGTTTCCAAGGAGGGTAAAGATGATGGTCCACATGGGAGGCCTGTCTCTACACCCCACGGGACCCCTTAAGGGTTTACTCCTTCCTGGATTTCTCCCACTTCGTGTGAGGACCAATCTCAGTCTGAGCCGGGGATTGTAGAGTGAGTGGGTGGGACAAGGATGGAGGGCCAGCCGCCTCTTCTCCTCCTCCGTCCTACCCCCTCCCCACAAGTTTCACAGGGCCACTTCTGCACAACCGCCAGGGCCTAGAGCTGCGTGTGCTCTGAATTGTGTGTGTGTGGGGGGGGGGAGCCAGTTCCAAACAAAGAGCAGCCGGTCCCCGCCCGCCCCGGGCCTGTGGGCGCATCCCAGCCGGCCAGTCTGCCTGAGAGGGGCGCCCGGCAGGCTGCTGGAGAGGCAGGGAGTGCGGGGGTGAGGCAGACGACTGTGTGGCCAGGACAGCTGCTGCAGCCGAGGCTCCAGGCTCCTGATCCCTAGCTACAGCCAGCCCATCCAGCCCGTTGTGACCTGGTAAGTGCAGGTGGTGGTGGCGGGAGACATGCGCGCTGCCGCTGTTGAGACTGGCACCAAGTGCCAGGGGGGATGTCCTAGCAGGGAGTCCCCAGCTCAGTTGCCCGTCTCCCCAGGACCCCAGAGGGCCTCGGTGGGCAGGGAAGTTGCCCTTGAATGAGGATGAGGCAGGATCCCACTGGTCCTGGGTTGGGTGCTTGTGTGGGTGTCGCACTATGCTCAGCGGAAGGGGGTGGGGGACGGTCGGACTACTCTTTCTGCCCAGGATTACTGTTAACTTCTCGCTGGGCCTCTGAGAGCCTGGACCATGCAGCATGCCCCGTACATAACTGTCCCTCTGGAAAATGTCCCCCTCTTTGTTCGCCCCAAATGGCGGGGGCTGCCTCTTGTTTGTTAGAGGAGGCAAGGCTGCAGGACCCCATGAAAAGCAGGGTCTGCTAACTGCTGGCAGCTGCTGAGTCTAGGACACTGGGGGATTGTTCCCAGGCAGGCTGTCTTCCCAGGCTGGGCTATCCACCAGGCCCCAGGGCCCTGCTGTGCTTTGGGGGCAGCAGAGCTCTGCAGGCCTTGTCACCTGTGTGCATGTGCTGATCCCTCTGTCTGCAGCTGACTGCCTCCAATGCCAAAGCGAATAGAGAAGATTCTGGGATGTAAGGCTTTCCTGTGTATCATACTGTGCTTACATGCATGAACTAGCTGGGAAGTAGGGGAGAGGAGATCTGGTTGGCGCCTTCACTTGGTCGAGACCTCAGAGTGCACAGGAAGAAGCGACCAGAGGCCCGGGGCAAGTGACATATATTGGGACAGGAGGTTAGAAGGGGCATCAGAAAAAGAGGCAACTTCTAGAACATTCCTAAGTGTACTCCAGGGCATAGGATGGTGATAGAGGGGTGGGGAGAGAAAAAGGGTAGTATAGAACCAGACTGTATGGTCTGTGTTTAATTTATGAATCACAATGAAAACAGCTGATGGAGTTTGGCACCCCCAGTTTAGAGCAGAACTTAGGAGTAGGAAATTTAGCTGCCATGACTGCCTCACGGCACTGTTTCTCAGAAAGATTATCAGAGTTCCATGGCTTATAGCGCACAATGGGGCAAATAACCATGGTCCTAGTTGTCTGCCAGGTGGTTGGAAAAACAATATAGGGGATGCCAAGGGTGGACTTTTAGGCCAGGGGCTGGGGATGCCTGCTGGTCTGCAGCTACTTTCTGTGTGGTAGGAAGGGAGCCCTTACACTCAGCATCAGAGGAGTGTCTGTCTGTCTGGAGCCTGTGTCTGGACTCTCAGCTGGAAATGTGGAAAGTACAGACAGGTTTCCCACAGTTCCTGTGTAAATGTCTTCGGCAGCACAGAACAGAAACTGGCTTCGATGGCCTTCAAACACCCTGGGAGCCTTCCGTCCACAGATAGTATATTCCCAGGAGAACGTGGGTGATTTGATCTGCCATCTTGCTTTGAGCTGTAGGACTCCCTACAGTTTGCTCTCCAGAAAGTAGAAAGTAAAGAAGTTTGTTCCCCAAGGCCACAGGTTTGGGGCATTCCCTGCAGAATTCTGCCCTTTGTGGGATAGGGATTTCAGAACCAAGTCCTGACTTGGGGCAGGGTAAGGGAATTGGGGGGGGGGGTTCAGCTCATCACAGACACAGACAGTACCCAACACCTTGGACGTCACCTATCACAGAGACCTCTTCATTTGTGATAGCTATTTAGTTAATGTTTGTGAAATGAAGGAACCCTGGGTATGGAGACCTAGAAACCCGGAGTTAAGCGTTATCTGGTCACCTAGAAAAGGTCACTTTCAATCTATGCGTCTGCTCTCATTGGCCAACATCGGGGCGTCACCAAGTGTCTTTCTGATTTGGTCTCCTGTATCAGCCAGTTCCTTGAGGCCTTTTTCCGGTCTCCCGTTTGAAATGGGGCAGTTCACAGCTAGACCCCAGAACCTCAGTGTGTCCCATTGACAGCAGTCTCCACATTCTAAACTTACCTTTGCTGTGTGCTGCAGAGGAGAAAGCACAGACCTCTTGTGTCCTGTTCTCTGCTGCCTCCCAGTAGTGGTAGTGGTAGTTCTGTGTGTTTGGGTAAGTAAATCGACCAGGCAGGGGTGCCTGCATGTTTTCCTATCCATACCTGTGGTCGGGGGAGGCAAACCCTAAACATAGCACAAACAGTTCAGAGTTTAAATTACGTTATATATCAGCTCCCAAGTAGGATTTTCTTTGAAGATGGAGACCTCCCACACAAACTAGAAGACCACTGTACCAGAGACTGCCAGGCATGTTCCCGATTCCATGTTAAAACATATTCTTGTAACTAGCCATTAATAGCTATTTAGCTCTCACAGAGGTACATGGCAACACAGTTCCTCCCCCACAGAGTGTTTTCATTAAGTGTCCACCATGAGCCTTGAACTTCCTAACCCTAAGGAATTCATGAAGACACAGATGCTTCCCTCTAAGCTCTAGTCACTGTTACTTAACTTCACTCCCAGGAAGAGATTAGCAAACAGCAGGGTGGATACCACAGGACACACACACACACACACACACACACACAGAGAGACACACATACCACACCACACACACACACACACACACACACACACACACACACACGCATGCGCACACACACGCACACACACAGAGTCACAGCTGGGGCACAGACAGGCAGGCCTTGGCCATCGTGTCTCTTCACAGCAATACAACAATAACTAAGACATTGCCTACTCCTCAAGCACACCTGTGGGTTACAGCTGCCTTCCAACAGCCTCATCTTACCTTTACCACAGCCTCTCTTGAAGGCTATGATCTCCAGGAACTGGGGGTTCTCAGAGGGTTCTGGAAATGTGAGGCAATCCTCTCTGGCAGGCCTCTGCTATGCCCTGAAGCAGGGGGCAGGCCAGTTCAGAGCAGAAGGGGCCTGTGACACATAGGGTTCTCCTCGCTCACCCCCATCCTGCCACAAAGTCAGTGGACTTCCCGGCCACCCCATAAGGAGTCCCTTTCTTTGGTAATCCCATGAAGTAAGGACTTCCCTCTGCCCCTTCACTCTCCTGGGGTCTAGGAGCACACATGCCCCAGCCTTCACCCCAGGAAAGAAGCAAGCAGCTCTCGCAGGTATGGGGCCTTGAACCCTGCCCAGCCTGGATGAAGAAAAGAGTGGATTTTCCTCCAAGGAGATCAGGGAAATTATAATACAAGCACTTCTCTCTCTCTCTCAATCTCTCTCTCTCTCTCTCTCTCTCTCTCTCTCTCTCTCTCTCTCCCTCCCTCCCCCTCTCTCTAAGGAGAGAGTGTGAACACAGTCCCCCACTACCACAAATTATTGAGTCAAGTTTCCCACATTTGGGGACGTCGCAGAGGTCAGCACATCCCCAGTGCAATGGCTGGGTCTCATCCTGGCAAAACCACCTGCCTGATCATGGTGTCTCTCCTGATAGGTAGGCACATCTCTGAATGGAGGGAAGGCATAGACTCCATCTTCACCATAACTGGGCTTGGTTTGTTAAGTGCTCCGTCTACAGCAAGGCCCCTGCGCTTTCTTGGGTGTGGTTGAAGCTCAGAACGTGCATGTTCAGTGTGCTGTGCACTAGTTTCTGTAGGTGGGGGTCAGTGTTTGGCTTCTCATCCTAAGTTTCCCCCACTTCTCCAGTGTGACCTTCACATGCAGTGACCAGCCTAAGGCAGTTGCTAGGGGCTGGTGTGGTTGCACTAGGCTGGGCTGGACAGCCCCTGGTGGGCTCCCTGCTATGGACAGCAGAGCCACAGGACGCCAATTCATATATGCCTAATGGTCCCTTCAGATAACTGTATTTTCAGAACTCATTTAAATGAATGCTCATTCCCTACCCCTGGACACTTGAGTTTAGTTAACTTAACCTCCTAAGTGGTGACTATAATTCCTACCCCTGGACCAGAGGAGACAGATCCCCATTGCTTTTGAAATCCAGGTCAGAGCCTTGAACTTGGTACACACTCTTGTCCAGCCTGTTCTATAAACCATCGCCAACGTTCTCTCTTCAGCACCCCTGCAAGTACATCTTGGCCTTGAACTTCATGCACTCTGCATGAATTCTCTTCAATTCCCTTCCCTTCCCATTCCATTCCCTTCATTTGCCTAGCCTTGCCTAGCTTTGCCCTTTCCCTTCCCTTAACTTCCCTTCCCTTCCCTAATGTGATACCACTCTACCTGTTGCCCCCGCTCTGAGTGCTTGGGGGTCAGAGACTGCCTCATTAATTCTTTTCCATCTGTACCACCTAGCACATGTATACACATACGGGGGCCTTAGACATTTGGTGAATTAATAGTCTAATTATCTGATCTCAGGAGATAAATAACTTGGCTGTGCTAAGTGAGGAGAGGCCTGAGGCTGGGTAGTGAAAGGAGTGGACTGGGTGGATTCCCAAGATGCCCTGAGGAGACTGGAAAGGGAGGCACTGGGGCTGTGAGGATGGGGGATGAACACTGGGCAGGTAGGTGAAGGGTCCCTTCTGAGAGGACACCTAAGGGATAGAGGGGTAGCAAGGGAAGCTAATGAGTCTATTTTGAATGCATTGTGGCCCTGGGTGAGCCTGGATCTCAGCAGACTCTGATAGCTGTTCCTAAATTTCCCTGAACAGGAATGCATTTACCCATGGTTCTGGAAGGTAGAAAGTTCAGGACTATGGTGATGGCTTCTGGATGGGGCTTTCATGCTATGTCCTCTCAAGCCACCTACAGAAGAGTAAGAGGAGTTGAGGGACAGTGATCAAGAGGTAGCCCAATCTTGTTTTCTAACAAATCCACAGGAGACAATTAGCCCACCCCATGAGAATGCCATTAATGGGCTCTCATCTGGTCCTCCTTCTCTGCTCTACTGAGGAGTAAGCTTCTAATGCATGAGCAGTAGGACCATCTTCAAATCATGGCAATTAAGGCTCATTGGAAACACACAAGAAGACTCAGGAAAAAATGGGTTCATGAAAACGTCTCTTAGTCACTGCTCTATTGCTGTGCAGAGACACCATGACCAAGGCAACTCAAAAAGAAGCATTTAACTGGAGGCTGGCTTCCAGTTCCAGAGATTAGTCTGTTACCATCACAGCAGGTAGCATGTAGACAAGACACTGGCAGTATCTGAGACCTGTACTTCTGGTGTAAACATACCAGGCAGCAGGCAGCCCGGCACTGGCTTTTGAAACCTCACCGTCCACCCCCAGAGACCAATTTCCTCCAATGTGGTCAACAAGGCCACACCCCCTAATCCTTCTAATTTTTCTCAAATAGAGCCACTCCCTGGTGACTAAGCAGTCAAATACATGGTCCTATGGGGGTCATTCTTAGATCAGTGGTCACCAGGGAGGGTGTTTCAGAAGAAAGGTGTAGAAGGGTTTCTGGCTCAGTGGCTGAAACAGCAAGGCCGGCACTCATTAAGCTCCGGGGTTCATCCCCAGCACACATGAAAGCAAGGGGCAGAGAAGGAAGGCTGTCAGGGTTTCACTTTCATCAGAGAAGACGGAAAGGCCACTCCTTGGCCACTAGAAGTGACTTTGGGAATCATGGAGTGATGGACACCAGGCAGCAGTGAGTTCAGAATGTCCGGATGAAGGCATGCCCTCTGACCTTGTGGTGAAGGAGGCTTAAATTTCATTGTCAGCATGGCTGGGTTTAGAATCACCTAGGAGACACACATCTGGGTGTGTCTTTGATGGTGTTTCCAGACAGGCTGAAGTGTGAGGGAAGATCCACGCGAATGTGGGCAGCACCATCCAAGGGGCTGAAGTCCTGAGCTGAATAAAGATCAAAGGAGAAGGGAGGAGGAAGCCAGCTGAACACCAGCATATCTCTCTATTGTCTATGTCTATGTCTATATCTATATAGATATCTATACAGATATATATCTGTGTCTGTCTGCCTGCCTCAATTGTGGATACAGTGTGGCCAGCCACCTCATACTTCTACCATGTCTCAGTTGCTCTTGTCACATATCTTGTCATAGCAACAGGAAAAGTGACACCTCATCAAACAGAGGCACAGGGCTGGGAGCACATGGGAGGCTTGAGATGCAGGGAACAAACCAAGTAGACACAACTTTGAACCTTATACCTGAACTCACACCACTGCTGTCATTATTTCTAATAGGGGTCTAGTTCCTCACATCTAGAGGCAGAGCTACTGTAGAATTTCATTTCTTCTTTTTAAGAGAGACATTAACCAGAGATGACCGACTCCCAGAGATGCAATTCAGTAAGAAAAAAAAAATGATGATGAGGTGCTGAACCAGAACCCAGCAAGGCAATAGCCTGAAAAATAAAGAATCATCTCTCGTGTAGCAGTCCAGGATGGGTAGGCAAGTCATTCCACTGCATAATCATTCCAAATCCAGGATCACATGGTCTCCTTTCTCTACCCATCATGCACAGGACACTGTTTGTGGCCAGACCAGATGCACCAGCATCAGCTAGACACAAGTGTTCACTGCCCCCCTCAAGACTTTCTGAATGAGACTTCTAGGGAAGGGTCCAGCTCCGAGTATAGCGGTGGCAGTTATGTGGCTTTTACAGTTCTGGGGTATCTTAATTAGAGCTTCTATTGATGTGGAGAGACACCATGATCAAGGCAATTCTTATAAAGGAAAAAAGTTAATTGAGGTGGCATGCTTACAGTTCTGAGGTTTAGTTCATTATCATCGTGCTGGGGAGCATGGTGGCTGGGAGTATGGCATCACACAGGCAGACATGGTGCTAGAGAAGTAGCCCAGTGTCTTATAGCTTGACTTGCAGACAACAGGAAGTGGTCTGAAACACCAGGTGTGGCTTGAGCATATATGAGATCTCAAAGCCTACCTCCACAGTGGTGAACTTCTTCCACACCTATTTCAATAAGGAAATACCTCCTAATAGTGACACTCCATTTGGGGCCATTTTCTTTCAAACTACCGCATGGAGATAGAGCCTCACACCCAGGTCTTTCTGTATTTCTGCAACCACCCAGACAATCTAAAATGGCCTTGAATCTGAGAGTCACCGTGCCCTCCTCTCCTACCATCTGGACAGTTCAAACTCTTAGGGGAAAAGGTTAGGAAGTGCCTAGGCATTGAGTGCACGGAGTATATTTTGTATGTGTTACTTTCACATCCAAATATGAGGGAAAAACTGAGAAACAACTTGGGGGGGGTGGTTTGAAGGAAAATGCCCCCCGTGGGCTCATAGGGATGACACTATTAGGAGGTATGGTCTTGTGGGAAAACATTTGTCACTGGAGGGTGGGCATTGACGTTTCAGAAGCCCAAGCCAGGCCCACTGATGCTCTCTCTCCCTCCTATTACCTGCCAATCCAGATGTAGAACTCTCAGTTACCGTTCTAGCGCCATATCTACCTGTGTACCACCATGATGATAATGGACTCTAAACTGTAAGCCATCCCCAATTAAATGTTTTCCTTCCTAAGAGTTGCTGTCATCTTAGTGTCTCTTCACAGCAAAAGAGACCCTAACTAAGATAGGAGGAAAGCTATTTCCAGAGAGTTTCAGTCCATCAAGGGGGGAGACACGGCAGAGAAAATCAGCTGTGGCTGCAGAAATGAGTGGCAGATGCAGTTCTCATCATAGCAGACCAGGAAGGACAGAGTGATCTTGGAAGCCATGAAGGCACCACTTCCTAAAGGTTAAACAACTGCCCTAAACCAAGCAGCCAGGTGGGGGCCAAGCATTCAAAATGTAAGCCTCGGCTGGACATTCAAGATTCAGACCGCATCATACAGCCACTCTCTCCAGCTTCAGATCTTAGAGCCTGGAGTGCTGTGGTTGGGCAGCTACACACCCATCATAATGGGAGAAGGGGTGGGCAACTTCTAGAAGACCATGGGAAGCCTAGGCCCACCTTATGACTCCAACAAAGGAAGTTTGATGTCACCACCCATCTCTGGAAGAAAGACAGCTACTTACCAGTCTCAGTTTGAAGAAATCTGTGGCCTTCTATTTTCACTTGTTTCCTCGTTTATTTGTTTACTTAAATATAGCAGCCCCAACTGTCTTCCAATCTTTCCTGAGATTGCACAGCCCAAGTCTTAGACTCCTTTCACCCACTTATACATCACATTGCCTAGCCTCTGCTTAGCAATTTCCAGGAAAAGTCAGAAGAAGGGCACCTATGTTTAGCAGGAAATGATGGGTAGTACAGAGCAATGCTGGATAATTGAAAATGAGAGATAGATGGAAAGGTGGGCAGTTTGTTAATTTCACAGCTATATGGCCCTCACACCATAAACAGCCATGCACATGAACCATAGATCCCTGGGCTGAAGGCAGGGTGGCCTACTTCCCTTGGATTTGGCATTTATGGACATCCTGAGCTCTTTTAGGTTCCATGAGCACAGTGTATCGCTAACCTTGGGATACAGAAGGGAAAGGAAGGAAGGGGAGGGAGGTGGGAGACAGAGAGGGAGCCCTTTGTGTTATCCAGGTGAGT